AAAGTGCGTGGAAGGTGATTATGATTTACTGAGCCCATGGTGAGATGAAATGGAGCTGCAACCTCAGCTTCTGTCAGTACTCTTACCAAATGCCACACTTGTAGGTTTAGCTTACAAAAGTTCTTATTCTTTTTATAAGTCCAACTAAAACTCTGAAATAAAACAGAAATCATCCAATTAAATTTAAGTTATCTAGCTGCGCATGGTGGCACACTCCTGTAATCCCAGAGGCTCTAGAGGTTAAGGCAAGAGGATTGTAAGTTCAAAGCCAGCCTCAGCAAGGCAAGGCACTGAGTATCTCAGTGAGACCCTGCCTCTAAACAAAATAAAAATATAGGGCCAGGGATGTGGATCAGTGATCCAGTGCCCCTGAGTTCAATACCAAGTGCAAAAACAAACAAACAAAAATTAAATTATCTAAAATTCTAATCTATATACCATTTTGTGTTTTTATTTGCTAAATCTGGAAACCCTAAACCCCATAACTTAAACAATTACTTTCAAGCAGTTTTGGACCTATTTACAAACACTCAAAATTTCTTTTACAGATTTAATATGGCCTATCTTTCTTAGTTTTTAAAGTTTTTCAATTGTTTCAGCTAACAAGTGTTTAAAAGTCACCTTTTTTTGGTACTAAATATGTCTAAGTCTGATAAATTAATCTGCAAAGATAGTACTAACCCAAAGTCCTTAAAAATGTTTCAGATCTGTACATAAACTTGGCAAGGTTTCAACTTAAAAAGTCACAAATCTAGCCAGGTGTGAGGTACTATTATCCCACTAGCTTGTGAGGCTGAGACAAAAGAATTGAGAGTTCAAAGCTAGCCTCAGCAAAAAAAACGAGGTGCTAAGCTACTCAGTTAGACCCTGTCTCTACATAAAATACAAAATAAAACTAAGGATGGGGTTCAGTGGTTGAGTACCCCTGAGTTCAATCCCTGGTACCCCCCCCAAAAAAAACAAATAAAAATTAAAAATAAATAAATGTCACAAATCTAATAATTCATCCACCTAATTGCACACTTTATATTGTATTTACAAAATTCTCAATTTAACAGGCCAAAAATTTCTCAGATGTTATATAAGTTCTTAAGATACACATGTACAAATAGGAAAAGAAGAACTCAAACTATCACTATTTGCTGATGGCATAATTCTATATTTATAAGATCCCCAAAATTCCACCAGAATTGTTCTAGAACTAATAAGTGAATTCAGAAAAGTAGCAGGATATAAAATTAACACCCCCATAAATCAAATGCATTCCTATATTTCAGTGGTGAAGCCACTGAAAGAGAAATCAGGAAAACACACCATTCACAATAGTCTCAAATAAAATGTTTGGGAATCAATCTAACAAAAGAAGTGAAAGACCTCTACAAAGAAAACTACAGAACACTAAAGAAAGAAGTTAAAGAAAATCTTAGAAGATGGATAGATTTCCTATGCTCTTGAATAGGCAAAATTAACATTGTCAAAATGGCCATACTACCAAAACTGTTATACAGAGCTAATGCAATTCCTATTAAAATCCCAATGACATTTCTAGAAATAGAAAAAGAATCATAAAATTCATTTGGAAAAATAAGAGACCCAGAATAGCCAAAGCAATCCTTAGCAAGAAAAATGAAGCAGGAGGCATCACAATACCAGAACTTAAATTATACTACAGAGCCATAGTAACACAAATGGCATGGTATTAGCACCAAAACAGATAAGTAGACCAGGGAACAGAATAGAAGACACAGAAACAAACCCACATAAATACAGTTAGCTCATACTAGACAAAGGCGCCAAAAACATTCATTGGAGAAAAAAATAGCCTCTTCAACAAAAGGTGGTGGCAAAAACGTAAATCCATATGTAGCAAAATGAAATTAAACCCCTCTTGCCCAGCACAAAAATCAACTCAAAGTAGATCAAAGACTTAGGCACTAGAACAGAGACAATGCAATTAACAGAAGGAAAAAGTAGGCTCATGTCAGTTTAGGAACTGACTTTCTTAACAAGACTCCTAAAGTGCAAGAAGAAAAATCAAGAATCAACAAATGGGATGGAATCAAACTAAAAAGCTTCTTTTCGGGACTGGGGTTGTGGCTCAGTGGTAGAGTACTTGCCTTCATGTGTGAGGCATTGGGTTCAATCATCAGCACCACATAAAAATAAATAAAGGAAGGAAGGAAGAAAGGAAGGAAGGAAGAAAGAATGAATATAACCCAAGGTACTGAGGTTATAGCTCAACGGTAGAGAGCTCGCCTAGCAAGTATGAGGCACTGGGTTTGATCCTCAGCACCACATAAAAATAAATAAAATAAATAAAGATATTTTGTCCATCTTTTTAAAAAAAGAAAGAAAGAATATAACCTGATATTTTTTTTAAAAAATCTTCTCAGCAAAGGAAACAATCAATAACATGAAGAGAGAGCCTACAGAATGGGAAAAATTTTTTACCTCATGCACCTCAGATAGACCATCAATCTCCTGGATATATAAAAAACTCAAAAAAACTTAACACCAGAAAAACAAATAACCCAATCAATAAGTGGGCTAAGGAACTGAACAGACACTTCACAGAAGAAGAAAGATAATCAATCAAATACATTAAAAAATGTTCAACATCTCTAGCAATTAGAGAAATGCAAATCAAAACTACAGAGATTCCATCTTACTCCAGTCAGAATGGCAATCATCAATAATACAAGCAACATAAATGTTGGTGACAACGTGGAGAAAAAGGTACACTCATACACTGCTGGTTGGACTGCAAATTGGTGCAACCACTATGGAAAGCAATATAGAGGTTACTCAGAAAACTTGGAATGAAATCACAATTTGATGCTGTCATCCCACTCCTAGGTTTGTACCCAAAGGACTTAAAATCAGCATCCTATCAATATTTATAGCAGCTCAATCATAGTAGCTAAGCTATGGAACAAACCTAGGTGCCCTTCAAAAGATGAATGGATAAAGAAGCTGTGGTATATATACACAAAGGAATATTATCCATCCTTAAAGAAGAATGAAATTATAACATTTGCCAGTAAATAAATGGAACTGGAGAATATTATGCTAAACGAAATAAACCAATCCCCAAAGAACCAAAGGTCAAATGGATGCTAATTTATAATAAGCAGAGAGAAGAGATTGAGGTATTTTGGACTAGACAGAGGGGAGTGAAGGCAGGGGGGGGCATGGTGGTAGGAATGATAGTAGAACAAATTGGACATTATTACTCTATGTGCATGTATGATTACATGACCCATGTAACTCTACATCATGTACAACCAGATGAATGAGAAGTTATACTCCATTTATGTCTGATGTGTCAAAATGCATTCTACTGTCATGTATAACTAATTAGAACAAAAAAAAATACACATATACAGTTTCCACCTTTTTATGAGGGTGGGCACTAGGGAGCAAACCCAGGAGCATTTTACCACTGAGCTACATCCTCAGCCATTGTATTTCATTTTGAGACAGGGTCTCATTAAGTTATCAAAGCTGGCACCAAACTTGTGATCCTCTTGCCTCAGTGTCCTGAGTTGCTAGGATTACAGGGGTATACCAGATTTCATCTTTAAATGCAAAAGCTTGTATTATGATTGAGTTTCTTAAGCATTTTTACACTTAATTCTATATCTTCTTCTGGCTGGAAGAAATCCATTCATGGAGGGAGATACTTAACCATCCAATTAAATTAACGAGAGCTACTTCTTACCAGAGTCTCAAAAAGGCCTGAGGTTGAAGTTGAAGACAGTGGGGAAATTCATCTTATCCAAGAGCTCAAGAAAACCATTGTCTCCTTCCATGTACAATTTCAGATTCTCTCTTAGATACCCTGGGCATGAGTGGTCTTCTGAATGCTGACTGATGTCATGTTTGCAACCTTCATATGCTTTTCCCTGTGGATATAGTCACAGCCCTGCCAATTCAGAGGGATGGTCTGGAGAGCCCAAGGTTAGCTTTGAGTTATTCTCTTTTTCTTGCAGAATTGTCCTTGCCAAACTTCACAAATATAACCTGAGTAGATTTATATTTCCTTTGCTTTTCAGATCTTTGTATCTTCCTGACCAAACTCTAAGAAAGTTTGGGCTTTTTTTTTTTTTGGTACTGGGGATTGAATTCAGGGAGCACTCAATCACTGAGCCACATTACCAGCCCCATTTTGTATTTTATTTAGAGACAAGGTCTCACCGAGTTGTTTAGTGCTTTGCCATTGCTGAGGCTGGCTTTGAACTCGCAATCCTTCTGCCTCAGCCTCCCGAGCCACTGGGATTACAGGTGTACACTACTACGCCCAGATGAAAGTCTATAATTCTTGCAGAACTTTTCTTTCTTGGGGTCAAAGAACATCCCACAAACATTAAAGTAATATCAGGCTTAAACAGGCTATTTGTCCTTGAAGTCCAAGGATATTTAACTGGCCCATACTAGCAGATCAGCATTGCCATCCCTGGCAACACACTGTGTACATAGTAAAATTGCCTTAAAAATTATGTCATTCAAACAATTTGAGTTTAATTTATGCCCATCAGGGTATTTAGAGAATAACTGCCTGGGTGTATCTAGGGACAGCTGGCCACCAAATCCCAATGATTTATATAAAACTCAGCAGGATTTCCCACTGCCCACTGCCTCATTGTCCCCCAGAAGGCTCCTCTGCCCCAGGTGTCTCTGAGTAGATTGCTTCCAAGTTGATGAACTGTCAGGGAAAGGTCCATAGCATGCAACCACAGCAGAGAAAACCAGTGGTCAGAGCTGGCTCCTGGTCTAGATAGGAGTGACTTTGTAGAGGATGGTGCCTAAAATAGGCATGCCAGTTTTCTCACCAAAGTGACAATAACAGGGGCTCCTAAAAAGCTAGCCCAGTATCTTCATTTCCTTGGGGATTGAAACACATGATCTTCAGTTCCTCAGAGAAGTGAAAGTAGCAAAGAGGAATCCAGTCATTCCTGTTATCCACAGGCTTTATAAGTCAAGTGTGCCGGGAGGTGGCGGAAGCCTGCACTCCCAGCACTGTTGTCTTCTCACCCAGCCTGAAGCCTGAGTAGTGCCAGGATGTCCCTGAGTCTGTCCACCCTGCTGCTTCTCGTCCTCACCCTCGACAGTTCCCTGGCCCTGAGGCTCTGCTCCTTCAACGTGAGATCCTTTGGGCAAAGCAAGAAGGAAAACCAAAATGCCATGGATGTCATTGTGAAGGTGAGCCCCTATTCCCATCAGTGGGATCCTGGACATGCCTCATGCCCTCTCCTCTGTCTTCAGACTTTAGGAGACTCTGAAGGAATTTAAACTTTGCCTTCAGGGAGAAGGTAGCAGGTGGCTTGGAATTGGTATTGATAAGAACAGCAGTAGTCACAATAACCACTTCACCTCTTAGTACCTCCTGTCATCATCTTAAAATCTTAAAACAAGGCTGATAACAGTGCCTCCCATAGGAGCACTCCACTGCCTGCCCCCCTAAACAGGTAAAGATAAAGCCTATTAATACAGGTATCTGGCTCGTAGTAAATTCCAGAAAAGGATTGACTGGCTAAGATGATTTTAGGACCAGTTATTGAATGATTGTGTCAGGCACTGTAAATACATGATTTTTATTTCATCATCTCATGAGCAAGGATTATTATTCCCCATGCAGAGATGATGAACAAAGAAAGGTGAAGCAGCACAAACAGCTGGTGAGTAGGAGAGGGAGCTGGGATGCCAGCCCAGCCTGGACTTCCAGACCATCCATGAAGTATACTTTCTGATTTCCTCCCAACTCTCAATTCTGTTCTTTCTCTGCACTTAGATAATGAATGCTGTCCTTGGTAACATGGCCAGTATTTGCAGATGCCATAAATCACAGTTCTCTAGAGTCAATTTATTCTTTGTTGGACAGGTTAATTTTGTTGTTTTTATGCTGGGACTAAAATGTTTCCCAGGACTCTGGTGTGGTGGTTATTGCTTTAAAAAACCTAGATGTGGGCTGAGGCTGTGGCTCAGTGGCAGAGCATTCGCTGCGCACATGTGAGGCACTCAGTTCGATCCTCAGTACCACATAAAGATAAATAAACAAAATAAAGATATTGTGTCCATGTATAACTAAATATATATATAT